TGAAAGGAAACACCTATCTTTACACAGGTGAGGCATGGATTGGACCTGCTCTCCCTGTTGTGGTATGCTGGGCTCTCTGTGTTGGTTATGCAAAAATTGTTACCCTCTGTGGGAGAGGTTTGGGAATCTGATGCTCAAGATTGTTTACACTCCAAACACCTTCTCTCCACTCCCCAGATACTGTTCTGTTTTTTTTTTCTTTCTTTCTTTCTTTTTTTTCTTTTGCTATTGTGGTGCTGAGTTTCAATGCAGAGCTTGAAGATACTACCTGTGCAAGCTATCCTTGAGCTACACCCCACCCCTTCTGACACTGCTCTAAAAGAAAGAGCAGAGGACACCTGAAGCCCCAAGATAATGCCTAATGTCTAACTTTTATTAGGTTTTCGATTTAAGGATTCTGGTACCTTTGGGTTCATTTTCTTATTATAGACACAGGAGGAAAACATATGTCCCTGAGACAATTAGCATATGTATACCTAGCTATGGATGATACCAAAGTGCTTCAGGAGAAGAAAGACGTTCACAGTATCAGAGTAGTATCTCTTCAGAGAAAACATGACATCAGATTCAGCCGAAGTGAGGTTTTACATAGAACATTTACATCACGTAAGTAGGTGACTGGAGTCTGGAAGAAGAGGAATGTAGGCTAATGTGAGCATAAAAACGGCTACCCTTCCCATCCATGTTGCCAGTAGGTGCTCAGACTTGGACTCAATCTGTCCAGTACCAGGAGTAGTGTAGATTTTGGCAGTCCACTTTCACAATATATTCTAAACATACAGTCATTCTACTTTTTCTGTACTCACTGTCAGCCTTTGAGAGAACAAACATTCCATTTTTCGTATGAGATTGAGCTCTGTTCTACTGGTTTATCCCTGCATATCTGAGAAATGCTCCTTCTTAGATAAAATTAGTAACCCAACATTGGGCTCTTCTGTAGACTGGTGTATATTCAACTCTACTACTGAGACATAAAAGGCATTTCCCTTATGAAAGAGGGGTTATTTCAACACACTAAGCACCCTTTCTATTAGTTTACAGAACATGACTTTCTTTTAGTTATTAATTGACAATTCAAATTCAGTCTCCCTGAACCAAGGAAGATCATGATATGAACTGACTGACAATGGAGCATGCTGGGACCTGCAAAGTCGTTCTGCATGTGACCTAGGGCCCTGTGCTTTCAGAGCTTCTCCTGTGGTCACTTCATGTCCCTGCACTGACCACCCACCCACACACACACACAAACACACACAAATCCATTTGTGTTTGTGTAATGTCATGTGCAGTCAACATCCCTAGTATCTATTTATAAGAAAGAATTCCTTTACCTCTTTGCTGTTAAATTTTATTGTTGTTGTTACTGTTCCAGGCAGTCAAACATCTTCCAGTTTGGAAGGGAGAATGTGTCAGTCACACGTTCACCTGGGTCATATGTGCCAATCACTTGTGATTTATGTGAAGTAAGTAACTATATCTACTGGTACCAATTCAAGGAGGGGAAGGCCCCACTATAGCTTCTCCACTATAAATTTTTAAATACCAAGCTTGTGGTAGAGTCAGGATTCCTTTGAGGGAAATATGATGCTTTGAAGTCCCAGATAGGAGATTTAAATTAGCAGTACAAAATGTGGAAAAAAGTGACTCCGCTGTGTATTACTGTGCCTACTGGACTAGCACAATGGTTTAGATCTGCCTTTATCTGTACTCAAAATGTTACTATGTCTGCTGCTGGTACATAAATAGAGATAAATCCCCATTGCATTTCCTGCCCCTGACCTCACTGTACTCTGAACAAAGGGAAATTATGAGCCTAAACCCTCACTCCCACCCTATATTTGCCCTACTCCCCCCTCAACATCTGTACATTGCCCCCACCAGCCCACAAGACCAACCTCCTGAACTGTTCTCTCTCATCCTTGGCTAAGTATCCTGCCTGACAGTATCATTCTCTCAGCTCTCTTAGGGCCTGGTGGAGGCATTCAATGCACTGGGTTAGGAACACAAGGTCACTTAGGGTTGATCGTTATAGGTGACATCTAGGAGAGCATTGTGAAAGGCTAGTTTCATGGTGTCATTTATCCAATTGTGATCTACAGATAATATCTAGGAGTGACTGATTCATTACTCAGGATTACAAGAAATGATAGAATAAATATTTGTGCTTCATGAAGACCTCATGTCAACAGACATAATTATTTTAATGAACAAATCAATATTTCCCTCACCACCAACAATGGTGCTATTGATATGAGTGAGAGCATAGGAAAAATATTATTATAAATATGCTACCTTTTGTATCTACTTACACATGTCAGAGAACATAACTTTAAGAAATTGAGTTTCAGAGATCTAGGTGGCTATGGTTAGTGATTCATGAAATAGGTGGCATCAGTCTGCAACACAGACAGGAACTCTGCTAGGTGTGACAAGTGTTGGTGGTTGCATGACAGCCTGAGCAGGAAGAAGGATGCAAGATAGTCCAAGGAGCAGACTGGTGACATCAGATTTCTCTTTGTCTCTGTGGTTTAATGCCTAAGATCTTTCTTACCATGCCTGCAATGGTTGACTTGGCCCCTGTGACTGATTAGTGTGAATTTCCTGTTAGTCCCCTTTTTTGTTATTGCTTGCAAATTGGTTTGCTTGAGTGTTTGGCTGTTATTTCTTGATTTCTTGGAAGGTTCAATGTTACAATTAAATAATTTAGGTTTTGGGGATTTTGTGTGGTTTGGTTTATGGGTATATTTTGTACCAGGGATTGAACTCAGGGATGCTTAACCACTGAGCTATATCCCCAGCCATATATATATGAAAATACATACATATGTATATATTTTCTTTATGCAGCCTCTGTGTGTGTGTGTGTGTGTGTGTTTTCTTTAGACAGCCTCTTGATGATTTGCTTAGGGACTCACTAAGTTGCTGAGGCTAGCTATGAACTCATGATTCTCCTGCCTCAACATCATGAGCCACTAGGAATATAGGCATGCACTATCAGACCCAGCAACAGTGTAGGTTTAATGACAGAGATTCTTTGCACAGTGACTCCATTTTGGTTACTCTGTTAATCTCCTAGTACACAAACACAAGCTCCATCTCTATAGTTGGCCTTCCATGAATTTTGCTTACATACTTCTCATTGAATTTAGCATACAATCTGTTCTCTTCTCAAAGAACAAATCTAAACTTTCTATCCACTTCTACCCTCTTTTGTGGACACAGGCCATTAAAAGTTTCTATTAAATTATCATTTTCCTCAATAAATAAAACTAAAATCTCTTTGATGAACAACCATATAAGGATATTGTATTTTTAAATCAAAAAGTCATGCAGGAAAGTGCAATTGCAGCCTATTCAACCACGTTAGTGTTGTAAAATTAATCCAGATAAGAGGAAACTGAACAGGAAGACATCAAAGTGCTGGAGGGCTTGGCTGTGACTATCAAGAGACATAAGTTTGTAGAAAATAAATTTTGTAGTAAAGTTTAAATTTCATGTTCTCAAATTTCTTTTGTTAATGGTAGAGAGAAATGCAATAGATTCTGAAAGGGTGTGAATTTTACTCTAATAGTCTTGCTGATTTGTCTTAACAATTTTTATTTTATTTATTGATTCTTTAATTATTCTGTGTATGTATTCATATTAACTATAACTAAAGGCAGTTTTATATCTACTCTACATTCCTAACTTCTATTAATTTTGCATTCTTAATGTCCTGGTTGAGACTTCTGGTGCAATATTTAATAGGAGAGAAGTGACTTGAATTCTTTTCTTAGTCTTCATCTCAAAGAGAAAGATCCAGGCTATTTTTAGAAACTAATAGAGAAAAGACCATAAGCTGATAATGGCCCTGCTCAAGCCATGAACAACCAGAGAGGGTGAGTGCAGGAGGTGTCCCACTAGCATTTCTCACTATTGGTGCTATTAGTCTAGGAATATTCATAAAACATTTCTCAGAAATATAGCCATGCATCCTTCCTCCCTTCATCTTGTGGATAGATTTGTGTATCTATCTCCTCTCTCTGAGGCCTCTTCTTCCCACTTTTATTTCTCTTACAAATTAAATTCTCGCCTCAGAGAATTGGCTCAAGATCTCACCTGACCTCAACCACCTGTCATGTTATGGCTCATGGCAGCAGTTTGAGACCAGGGGTCACCCTGGGCTCCCGTCCGCCTGATCAGGACATGGAGCCACACGAGGTTGCCTCACTGTCTTGTGGGACTTACTGTTTCCAGGTAAGTCTCCTACCTTCTTGCAGTGTGGTATCAGCAGAAGTTTTCAGTATATATTCAACAACTCCTGGGACACATAAAGATGTGTTATTTTAACATATCAAACAGTCTTTTCCAATAGGATCCAGCCTGTAACTTTCCTTCAATTATTAATTGACAGATCAGATTCAGTCTCACTGAAGAGAGGAAGGATCAAGATATAAACCGACTGGCAATGGAGCATGCTGGGCCCTGCAAAGTCATCCTGCATGTGACATAGTGTCCTGTTCTTTCAGAGCTGCTCCTGTGGCAGCATAATGTCCGTCCCCTGACCCCCACTTCTGACACACATCCATTTGTGTTGGAGTAGTGTCATTTGCAGCCAACATCCCTAGTCTCTTTTAATAAAGTAGATCCAAGGTTTATCTGATTTGCAGTTGGTGGTCGCCTCAAAGTCAATATACAGATGTAAGTAGGTGGTATAGGCCATAATAAAGAAGTTTCATCTCAAGACACAATCATGGCAGCAGCAGCAACTCTAAAATTCAGAGACCTGAAGTTCCAGAAGACAGGCATTTTCATCCAGGGTTCTGCCTCCCACTATGCTTGTGCTAACCTTCTTCACCTCTGAGCTCTCCAGACTCCTGGCTTCTCCTCCTCTGCAAAGGGCCTGCCCTCAGGGGCCAAAAGGTGGCACTAGAGAGAGGGGCAGAAGCAGAGAGGCAGGGGCTCCTCCCAGCACAACCCTTTCTGGGTAAACAGCTGGGTTTTCTTCTCAGGAAGCTCCTTAGTTACTTCTCCTTGCCTCTGATTCAGTCAGGAGGATCAGCTCTAAGTCACTGTTGGAGGTATCACTTCCATTTTGAGCGGACTTGGAGTGTTGGGAGGCTTTTCTTCTCCTCTTATTGTCTGGTCCTTTTCTTTCTAAGCCCCTGGGAAGAAGGAATGCTGTGGGCTCTAGCCCTACTTCTTCTAGCCATCCTGCCTCCTGGTAAGTATGTAGCAATGATGCTCATGTAATGTAGTTTTCCCCCATAGGCAAGCCATAGTAAAGAACTCACATCCCCCTTACTCATTAATTTTTTGTTGTTGTTGTTGTTATCCGTGCAGGCAGTCAAACATCTTCCAGTCTGGAAGGCAGAATAAGGTCAGTCATCAGGTCACCTGGATCATATGTAATAATCATCTGTGAATTTCGTGAAGCAAATAAATATATCCACTGGTACCAATTCAAGGAGGGGAAGTCCCCAAGACGAATTCTCTACTATGATATTTTCAATTTTAAGTTGGACTCAGGAATAAATTCAAGGAAATATGAGGCTGATAAAGGCAAAGATAGAAGATGTAAGTTTATAGTAAGAAATCTAGAAGGAAGTGACTCTGCTGTGTATTACTGTGCCTACTGGATGGCACAGTGGTTTAGACTGGCCCTTGTCTATGCTCAAAATTGTGCTGTGTCTGTTCTGGGTATACCACTTAGACTAGCCCCCATCTCACTTCCTGCTCTGACCTCACTATACTCTGAACAAAGTGAAATAATGAGCCTGCACCCTAAATCCCACCCTATATGTATCCCACCCTCCCCTCAACACCTGGCCATTGTGCCCACCTGATCCCCAAGACCAACCTCCTGAACTGCTATCTTTCCCCTTGGCCAAGCATCCTGGCTGACAGCATCATTCTCTCAGCTCTACAAGGGCCTGGTGGAGGCACATTCAATGTGCTGGCTAGGAACACAAGATCATTAAGGGTTGATCAGTTACAGGTGAAATTTAGCAAAGCTTTATGGAAGGCTAGTTGTATGGTGTCATTTATCTAACCATGATCTAGAGATAATACCTGGGTATGACTCTGCTTCAGTACTCAGGATCATGAGAAATTATAGAATAAAATATTTGGGCTTCATGAAGACCTCATGCATGTATTCATAATTATTTTTTAAACAAATAAATATTTCTTTCACCATAACCAACCATTTACTGCTGGTATAAGTGAGAATTTAGGAAAAGGTGAATAGGCTACCTTTTGTACCTACTTACACATGTCAGAAGTCATAACTTCAAAAAAATTGAATTGCAAAAAGCTACTTGGCTATTGTTAGTGATTCATGAACCAACACAGACTGAGCTCTGCTAGGTGTGACAAGTGGTGGTGGCTGCATGACAGCCTAAGTTGGAACAAAGATGCAGCAAGATAGTGCAAGGCGCAGATTGGTGACCTCAGGTTTCTTTCCTTGTCTGTGTGATTTAAATACTAATGACTTCTTTACCATGCCTGTAACTGTTGACTGGGCCCATATGTTTAGTTGATGTGAATCTCCTATTAATCTGTTTATTTTGATATTGTTCATGATCTGGCTTGAGTCTTTGGCTATTGTTTCCTGATTTCTTGGAAGTTTCCATCTTACAATTAAGCAGCTTAGGTTTAATGACAGGGATTCTTTGCAAAGTGACTTCATTTTGGATTAATATGTTAATCTCCTAGTACACAAGCACAAGCTTCATCTGTATAACAGCCTCCTGAATATTTTGTTTAATGTACCTCATGTTGAAATTCAGCCTACAGTTAACCTATTCTCTTCAAAAAGAACCAAGCTAAACCTTTTATCCACATCTATCCTCTTTTCTGAACATAGCCAAGACATTAACGAGAGTTTCCATCAAATTATCATTTTTCTCAGTAATAGTAACTGACAATACCATTGATGAACAACCATGTAAAGAATAGTGTATATTTAAATAAAAAGAATCATACTAGGAAAGTGTGATCACTGACTATTTAGCCATGTTTAGTGTTATAAAATTAATCCAGAAAATGAACAAGGAGATATGGCAAACCTGGAGGGTTTGGCTATGACTATGAAGGGAAATAGGTTTGTAGAAATTTTAAATTTCATGTTCCAAAATTTCTTTTGTTAATGGTATAGAAAATTGCAATAGATTCTGAAAGGTATGTATAGATTTGCTGAATTGTCTTATTAATTTTTATTTTTTGATTGATTCTTTAATTTTTCTGTGTATATATTCATGTTAACTGTAACTAAAGGCAGTTTTATATCTACTCAACATCCCTAACTTTTATTAATTTTGCATTCTTAATGCCCTGGTTGAGACTTCTGGCGCAATATTTAATAGAAGTGCAGTGGACAGGCATCCTTGTCTTAGTCTTCATCTCAAAAGGAAAGATCCAGGTGTTTCAGACCCATTTATGTCATACAGTGACCATTTCCTGCATAGGTTTGTGTGCCTTGTTACTTATTCATATTTCAGTTTGAGTTTCTTTGTAAAGTTCTTCCACTTTCCCTCAAAAGATCTGGAATTGGTATTGCTAGCTTCATTCTTAGGTATCTTACAGTACTTATTGCTTTGTGCATGGTAAAATTGTGTTATGTACTTCTCACTCTTTATTGCTATGATATAGAAATGCTATAATTTCTGTGATTATTTTCCATGTTCTCATTTCAAGTGCTAAATTCTTCCTACATTACAGAATCATTCAAGTTGAGATTCTCCAGACTATGCAAATGTCATTCATGATCATAAACATCTCTTTCTTTTTCCTAACTTTAATGGAAATATTTCTAATACTTGATTGTGTTTGCTAGAGGTTTTGGAAGATGACCACCTGCATAAGAAGCAACTGGGATGCTTTTAATAAAAAAAGTGGAGTTGGCACCCAACACAATGAGTCTAAATCTAGGAATGGAAACTGGAAATGTACACTTTTAAATAACTATAACTGCTGAAACTCATTAAAAGTGACTTGCAATCAGCACCACCTTGATGATGCCATGTGCTAATACAGCCCTTGCTGCTTTCTCCTTTCCACTGAGAATGTCTACTTGTCAATTGTCCACCTTTGCTCAGGATGCAGCCAGAGGGATAGTCACTGTATATGAATACCTTCAATTTGACAAGTGCACTGAGTCCCTAATTTGTGTATCCCTTTGCCAAGAGCAAAGTGTTTTTATTTCTGTAGCATTATAATCATTGTGACTTTTTGATAGGCAGCTTGTTTTGCTGTTCTGGCTTTTCAAAAATCTCTTCACCTCATTTTTCCAATGAATAAACCCCCAATATATATTACACATGCAAAATTAGAAATGCTTTGTGTATATTATGAAGCATATACAAAAATAAACAAGTTTTAAAAATAGGTTATAAATACAATTAGTGATTGTTTTAGTTAGCTTTTTCCTTGTTGTGACCAAAAGACCTGACAAGCACAATTTTAGAAGAGGAAACTTTTATTTGGAGGCTCTTAAGAAAGCCCCCAAATAAACTTTTTTCAGTCATGTCAGTCCACAGCCAGTCAGCTTCATTGCTCTGGGTCCAAAGCATGGCAGAACATCATTGCAGAATAGTGTGATAGAGGAAAGTGGCTCAGGACATGAATACCATGAAGCAGAATGGGAGAGAGAATGTGAGGGAGGGAGAGAGTGAGAGAGTTCCCCTCACCATAGACAAAATATAAACCCCAGAGGCATGATCCTAATGACCCTCCTCCCCCATCCACACCTTCCTGTATATAGTCACCACCCAGTTAATCCCTATTAGGTTAAGGCTCTCATAGCCCAACCATTTTACCTCTCGTGTCTTGCATTGTCTCACTCATGAGCTTTTGGGGGACACCTCGTATCTTACCATAACAGAGTGGGTATTCCAATCCTGCCTAAGCTGCTCCTCCTGTGTGACATGGAAGGAATAACCAGCATTTGTTTTCTCTTTACAGTGAGTGGCAGAGAGACCCCTGGAACAAGACCTCCCTCTATCTTCAAGTTTCAAGCTTTAGTGACTCCTTAGCCAGGTGGGAATTTATACTGCATGACCTACAATTTTTTTTAAATGTGTTGCCTATCTCACATCTCTTATGAAAGGTATTAACTAAAAATCAGAAGACCAATGGTGCTTTTAAGAACGTGAAGAAAAGGAAATTGTTAGGCATTGTTGGTAGTAGTGTAAATTGTGTATCATTATGGAAAATGTTATGGAAGTTCTTCCTAAAATGAAAAGCAGAAGTTCTAGAAGGTGTGAGGTAGGGGAAAGAGGCAGGCAGAGTAGCAAAATGGCAAGGGTCAATAAGGAGGATGGTTGACAGGACCAACATTTGAGGTATGCTCCACTGTTTTAGGTGCTCTAGCACGGCAACAACAAAACATGTTTCCCAAAAGGGACAAAAGACTCCATTTATATAAAAAAGACAACTTCACCATTCAGCCTGGGCACGCACATAGGACAATTAGAATCTCAAGAGCAGGTTACAGGGGTCAGTCAACAAGGTCCCACACTTAGCATCCAGATCTTCACACAGCATGTCTGTGTGTCCTGTTCTGCTCTTCTCACCCCCTGCATGGCTTCTCCAAGCAATTTGAGGTCTGGGTCCACCAGAATGGTTTCCTCTGGAACTACAGCTGGAGGACACAGTTTGGGAACACATGTGGTTCCCTCATTCAACCATATGTTTTCTTTTATTGGAAACCATAAGGGTCTTTCTGAGAATCTCTCAAACCCTTGCTAAAGGCTAAGAAAGCCCACCCTGGCTTTTCCAGGACTTCATCCTGCCCAAGAGAGGTGCCCCAATACGTTTTTTAAAAAAATATCTTTATTATTATTTTTATGTGCCAGTGCCTTATGCATGCCAGGTGAGCACGCTACCAGTTGAGCCACATCCCCAGCCCCCCAATACTTTTTAACTATGTGTTTAATTTAGATGAATATGCCCTACACTATATGGAGGAGAGAATACCAGGAAAAGTTGTGGAGGAAAGGAAAAAATATGTAGGAAAAAAAATGTCCTTGAAGTGAATGTGTGACTGGCTGCAGGTTTGGTGCAGATTTTCTCAAGTAATTAATAAGAGTGAAAATAGCAATTGAAAGAAACAATTGTATATACTGACAACAAAATGTAAAATTTATTTTCATAACACCATGGGTGGCATAGATTTTTATCCCCCAAAGAAATATTTTCTTGCAGCTGGAAATCTGGAAGAGAGAGAGACAAAAAGAGAAAGCAAAAAAAAAAAAAAGCCATTATTTCACTACCCCATCGCCCACCATCTGTATTGTATCTCTTTCTACTGATTATTTCTCTCTGCCAATGTTGACACGTCTGTCAATATCTAATACCTCATTTGGGCTTGATGTCTATAGAAGATGTAAATGGTAGTGCCAGAATATTCTTTTATCAAAAAATTCCATTACCTTTATATGTCACCACCAAGTCATTAACCCAGCACAACCAAAAGCTGCCTTTGGAGACATTGGAAAATGAACCTCAGATGCTGTGTGCAAGCCTGGCACTCAGGTGCTACCTCAGGTGCTGAGTCTGGTCATGAGAACCCAAGGACCCACAACTGCTTTTCAGAGCCAAACCCCTTCCTACCAGGTCCACTGCCTTCTCCTTGTGGCTGTCTTCCTGATTACTTACAAGGTCCTTGGAGCCACTAGCATAACTGAACATGAACCAGCAGTTTCCATGGAGTAAAGGCTAAGTGTGTCTCTCAAGCATCATTTCACATGTTCCTTGACCTGTGCTTCCCCAAACCCTCTCTTCTCCATTTCTGATGTCCTAGTAACCTCCTGGTCCTACCTTTATGTCCTACCTATGCACTGGTCTTATTTAGGTCTCTGCTACTTGGAATACACACACACACACACACACACACACACACCACCTGATTAGCTAAAACATATAATACACTAAAATTTCCACTGCATGTGGTCCCCAGAGATCACCTACTGCAACCTGTCCAATTTCAAGGTTAAACTATCATAACCCACATTTCTTGAGAGTTTTTTTTATGTATTTATGACTATATTACACACTTTGCTTACAGGATTCCACTGACACACAAAGCAACTCCCTGGCATCCCTTCTCACAGAGGGGATAAAAGAGGCAAAATAACTTGTCCAAGAGCAAACAACTCTTTTGTCATTTCAGGACACTGAAAGTCTCTGACAAAACCACAGAATGACATGCTCCTATTCAGATCAGATAGAGTATGCATTTTTGTCAGGGACAGCTTTTCAGTGCTTGTCCTTGCCCCAAAGCAAGCAGCACATACATAGTTGTATTCCTGTAGAGTGTCTTAACAAAGACAGGGTAGTTCTACAGGAATACTTGCCTTTATCTCCCAAGCTTCATTTCTGCTCGGTGTTCAGTCTCTGACAAGTTACCGAAAATAACAGCTGGCCTTTAACATTTCTAAACTGAGGATATTGATATTTATCCCACTAGGCTATTTTCAGAATCAAATAGAGGAAAGACCATAAGCTAATAATGGCACAGCCCAAGCCCCTGCACAACCAGGGGGTGTAGGAATGCAGGAGGTGTCCCACCAGCATTTTTCACTATTGGTGCTATAGTCTAGGAACATTCATAAAATATTTATCAGTACTCTAACCATGCATAATCCCTCCCTTCATCTTGTGGATAGATTTGTGTATCTATCTCCTCTCTCTGGGGCCTCTTATTACCTATCTTATTTCTCTTACCAATTAAATCCTTGCACCAGAGAATTGGTCAGGATCTCACCTGGACTCAACCACACACCATGTTGTGGCTTATGGCATCAGTTTGAGACCAGGGGTGACCCTGGGTTCCTGTCCCCCTGGTCAGGAAATGGAGTCATGCTAGGTGGCCTAACTGTCTTTTGGGACTTACTGTTTCCAGGTAAGACCTCCACCTTCTTGCAGGGTGGTGTCTACAGAGCTTTCCAGCAATAGGCCTGCCCCTGCTTCTCTGCTCTCTCCCTCGCAGTCACTCTTCATGCTGCAGCAGCCAGCCCAGGTCCTAGCACACAAGGGAAACTTGGTCTTTCTGAGGTGCTTGGTCCACACCATGGTCATCTACATCCACTGGTATCAGGACAGGAGGACCAGGCCTACCATAGACTCCTTCAGCAGAATATATTCACCAGTCCTGAAAGTGGATTAAAATAGCAACCTGAATGCTAAGTATGTCATAGCTGTTCCCTGTTGGTGAAGCTGGAGAAAGGCTGTGAGGGCGTCTACTACTGTGGAGCCTGGGGCCAATGGAATCCTGAAAAATGCCACAGCCCCTACATAAAAAATCATCTTACTACCTGCTCTGGCCAAGCCTTGGACATGTTCTTGGGTTTTTTGCCCCTTTGATTTCTGTGTGGCATTTAAGTACAAAAGCTCCTCCCCCTGTCCCTTAGCAGCATAGGATCTCCCTGATGCTCCAGATATTCTACTTCCACTACAGCTAAGAGGAAAAGGGTAAGGAGGGGAGTTCTTAGCCTGGTGCAGACTCAGGGAGCAATCTATTTGGAAGGGAGCTGTTAGAAAGTTCCCAGTTCATAGTTTATGCCCTATTTGAACAACAATCTGTACTGATCAATCCAGGTGCCAGTGGCTCCATGTGGTTGATGACCCCTTGAAACAGTACTACTGCAATGGTTCAAGCTGATATGGGCTATAGTTCTAAAATACAAACCATATTTTAAGATTTAGAGTAACAAATAACCATTATGCCTCTTCTGAAGAAGGCATGAACAAAATATTTTGCAGAACATTTCAAGGATGAAAGACTCTGAATTTCCTGCTGAATTGTGGAAAAGCTGAGACGTGGACGCTACCCTTGTTCCCAGCTTTGGAATTCTTAGAAGAGCCCCATATCAGTACTCTCTATTAAACCCTTATGTCAAGGATAAGATCTTGCATGTAAAATAACTCAAAAACCTTTCTATTGATTGAATGTTGGTGTGATTCTATTTTGGACATATTGCACTATAAAGCAATAATATTAAAACTAATTTTAAATGGCTCCTTTTTCTTTTTTAATGCACTAATTGGAGAATTTTAAATCTGTCACTAATGCTAGTTACCCACAATTATATCTACAGGAAACTATTATTGGAGATGCATTATTTAAGAATTTCACTGCCTTCCTTAAAGAATGCACATATAAAATATTTTGCAAAAGATTTTCCAAGATGAAAGACTCTGGATTTACTATCAAAGTATTGAAAACCTGATACAGGGAGCCTACTCTTGTTTTCAGCTTCCAATTTCTTGTACCAAGGATTCTTCTTGTGGCAGTAGAGTCAGCAAGTGGAAGCTTAGGTAAAAATTGCCTTCTTCCAATGCCTCATCCATGGAAGGAGGGTGCAGGAATTGACCAAATAAGCTACTCCTCATGGCAAGCGGATGTGCTAAATTCTAGGGAAGATGTTGGGCCCTTGGCCCTATATTGCCCCTTGAGCATCACCCATTATGGGATATGTATGCACCCAGTCTTTTCTGGACTCCAGTTCTCCATCCTATATCCGTAAATGTCTGCTAAATCATGAGAATACTATTTTCATAATAAATTCAAGTTATATAAATAAGATATCACTATGTCTACTAGTTTGGTACAAAGTAGCTAACATACTTAGTAGAAAAATAAATAAAAAGAAGGAAAGAAAGAAAAGAAAGCAAGCTTGTATTATCACTCCTCCAGCATTAAGCAGGAAACCCTTCTCATGCTCTATGTGTGGAAGAAAAATACCAAAATAAAAATCTCTTTGACGTCTAAACTGAATGCAAATACCTTTTCAATTGAGGAGTCCATGTATATATGACTTCATCATCATAAAATTTAAAATATAAAAAAATTATTGAGTGCACAGTGCAAGAAAGTGTTCCCTCAGTTTTTTACCTCATTCTATCTCTCAACTTCTGTGTTGTGACTAAAGATATACAGTAAACTATGCCTGGCTTTGAAAGTGCCCCACCTCCACACCCTGTTGTCAAACTCTAAGGAAGGATTCTGGTGAAGCCCAAGAGGGGACTCTGCCAAGCTATGAATCTTCACCCTTCTACCTTAGTGAGCTCTGTGACCTTAATCCAGGTCTTTGCTCCTATAGACTTCATTTTCTCATGTATAAAAAAGAGATGAAAATAGTTCCAAAAACTGGTGTTTTCTAAATGATATTATTATTTTTTTTTGGTTTCCTCTTTGTGGTAATCATTGCTGGGCTTGTCAGTATTTATTTCTAAGTAGTGGTACCAAGTTCTTTTACTCTCACTGTCATTTGCTGCTGGGAGCTTTGTTGCTGGCCTGTCTCTACAGGAGAGAGTCAGCATGACAGGAGCAGCGCTGGTGCACTTCTGATGCTCACCTGGGCATGTTCATTGAAGGCAGCATGGCAGAGTCTGCCAGAAACCACCACCACTTTTGAGGGCTCACTGTGTATTGCAAATTGTTGCAAACCCTCTACCTCAGCCAAGTTATTTATGCCCCACCAACATACAAGAAAATAGGTTCTGATTTTATTATCAGTAGATAATTGAGAACTAACAGTGGATGTATGCAAATGGCACAGGCTATGTAGCCAAATAGAACGAATCTCAAATTTGTAAGTGAGGAGCTATGATTTCTTGAGCCATTTTCCTAAATTTATGGATGCAGAGTGTTTGAGACATGCCCATTACTTGTAACTCTTTTGTAAAGGTTATACTTTAATTGGTAATCTTTCACTGTCATCAGAATGAAGAGAAATACTTAAATGTCCACTATTCCATGCATTTTTTTTTCTATTCTACGAATAACTTGGAACAAAACAAAATAAAACACGGTCTCATTTCCCTGCTAATGGGTCCCAGAGGAGTCTAAAGAGACAGAACAATGATAAAACAGGCCAAATCTTGGGTAGGAAGGGATGTGAGGTGGGAGACACTATAGATGGAGCCATATTAACCCCAGAATTCCTGGGTGAGAAGCTTCCTGGAAGAGACAGTGCTAAACTGAGCACAAAGATGAGCAGAAGTTCAACCAGAAGAGTGGGATATTTCTAGACAGAAAAACTGCCAATCAATCCATAGATGTGAAGATGTGATTCTAGGGAGACAATGATGAAGAACTGAAGGGAAGAGAGGAAATGTCACCTCATAGAGACCTAATGTCCTAACAGCTCTAGACTTGATCCTCAGGAGCAGAGCAGAGCAGGGTGAAGAATCCTAAGAAGGAAATGGACTACGTGAGATCAGCACCCAGATGGTGGGGAAGTTAATGTGAGTGGCCAAAGTTGGCTTCATTATGAAGAGTGTGTTGGGGTCAGGAGTGGGCCAAAAATGTTTCTGTAGCAGAATCCATAAAACTCATCAAAGGGTGAAGAATTAGAGGAGAGAGTTGAGACTGACATTCATGGTCCAGCAAAGCAAGTAGCAGTGATGAGGTGTGTAGCTCTAGTATCTGGGAGAAAACATAAAGATGAAACTTAACCAGAGCAGGCCACCAGGAATGAAGAGGTAAAGTGGTCAGGTCACCCCATACTGTAGGATGTTGTGGTGGCTGAACAGGAGTAACTGACTGATGAACTAAAGTCTCCAAGTAGGTTAAATAAGCTCTCTAAATGACATAGAGCCTAGCCTGACCACCCATCTCCCTAGTTGACAGCTTACTGGGATTACTAAGTAATTAACTCTGTGAAAGGTAATAGATGAAGAAAAATAAAAAAGTCCCAGACCAGTCTGTGACTCTGGCCATCTCTGTCTTAGATGGCTCCTTGTTGACCAGTGCCACATCACTATGTCTCTACCATAAAGAACTAAGCAGTGATGTTCCCTGAGCTAGGAGGAAGAGATGGGTGACCAAGAGGGTCTGAATCCACTCTGGCTGTGTACACATTCAGCCTCTGACATTCTGTGTGAGCCTAATTTGAACTCATCAGGTGGTCCGCTGGACAAGTGCACATAGAGTCCTGGAGGCAGGTGGGATGGAGATGGGTATTTCCCTTATCCTTTCCCCTCTTCCCTCCAGGCTAATTAAAGCCAAGAATGGGCAAGTGGCCACTGAGATAAAGTAGATGGAGAACAGAAATCTAGACTACAACAGATTTAAGGAATAGATTGGGGAAGAACAGTTGGAAAAAAAAACAATCTAGCACAGATTACAAGTCTTGGATTAGACAAAGAAAAAGACAAAATCAAGCTCATGAATTCTTAAAGAGGAAAAACAGTTTCCTAGAATATAGGCTGGATCCCTGTAGGTCAAGTACGTAACTACCACACTGTTTAGAAGGGTATAAAGGTTAGCAGAGGGTGGACTCCAAGCTCCATTGATCCCTATAGTGCTCCCCCATGACTACATATGTTATGGAACGATTGCAACATTTATTCACCAACAGACGAGCCAAGGGTCAGGCTGCCAATCTACACCCTTCGAATACATACACTTTTATAGTTCAAAACCACATTAATCACAAGTGTCTGTTGCTATGATTCAAAACTATAAAGAAACATCATGATATCTAAATCACAAGCAGAAGGAGGAGTGGGCCAAAATGACCAAAAGTTGAGTACAAATTAAAGAATGGTTACTAACATCTAGACAACCATTTTCTGACAGGGTACATTGTCCAAGAAAAATGGGAACCCAAAGGAGAACAATTTGACATTGTATAAGAGTTGTCATTTTGTGTTGCCAAACATGCTATGCTAAGTAACTGTTGATGGGTACAGAGGTGAGGCTTTCCCATGGGAGAAGCATTTCTTACATGACATGGAGTCTCAGGGTAAAATGGAGTCTGTTTGGTCATTGCCCATGAAGCCTGACCCATAACTCTTACTGTTCTTAATTTTTAAATTCCTCCCCCCTCTGAAATCCCAAAACTGGGACAGTTTTCTTATTATATTCTCCAAACAAAAGGACACATATGTAGCAGTGATTGACTACTTCATAAACATACATGGAAATTATTTGTGAGTTCCCAGAGGACCTACTGACCTAAGGCCCAGATTTCCTACACTTTACTGTGAATCATGGGTCCAGTCCTAACTGGAAGACATACAATTCATTCAAATTTGGTATCTTTGGTCTGCTTTCTGCTTTGCAAGAGTGACCCAGGACTTTACCATGTCCAACATCTCAGCAGACACACCTTGGAAATAGGAACACCCAAAAGCAAAAACTAAATGAAATAAAATGTTGAAGAAATTCTTATTTGAAATGCAGCAAATTTGCATATGGCTTTAGATCATATTGGTCAGTTTATGATAGTAGATTTTTCTTCTTAAATATACATCTATCTCTGTGTATAGATTTTATCATAGGTCTTTAAATTTATACTGTGTTTTTTAAATCTAGTTTTGTATTTTCTTTAAATTAAGTAAGATATTTTGTAATTCTCTGCTTATTGTATTTTATTACTTAAATCCTTCACAACTCTGAATATACAGATAATTTTTAAGACACCTGTTAAGTCTTTCCCTCATGATAGAATAAAGACAAACCAGTCACCGAAAGGGCTGGCATGGACATCAGTCACAGGTACTAAAGGTGCAAGGCATAATCTACAACTCCAAGACACAATAACTTGGAATTCTCCTTTTAAAAAATCTTTACAATTAACAAATGTAAGATTTAAAATCCTTTTTTAAGACAGTCCTCTTCTTCTTTCCAGCTGGGTTGGTGGCTATAAGCTACTATGAATAGAAAGTTGTCCACCATAGTTTTATTAATTCCTCATCCTTGGTGGCTCATGGAAGTTCCAGGACAGCATGGACCTGATGGGGGCATAAGATTATAGAAATGCCTTCATGAGCCTTCTTCATTCAACTTATCAGATAACGTTCTAGTTTAAATAAAAAATCTATAATTTCATGGGAGATAAAATTCTACAATTTTATTCTTATTCCAGGAAAAATAAATCATCAAAGAATTCATTTTTGTATTTGGCCTTGTCAAAAAAACAC